TTCTGGCTGCTCTTCATGTTCATCTGACCTTCATCAACTCTGGAGTCAACCTGATGGAAGAAACACAAACATCTAAAAAGTCTTCATTATTTAATAATAATAAACCTAAACTAAAGTCTTTTCATCAGAGAGCTGTTGACCAGGCCTTACAGAGTCCAAATGGACACCTGGACTTGTTCCTCCGTTTCCTCCTGGGACTTTCACTGCAGACCAATCAGAGACTCCTACAAGGTCTGCTGACACAGACAGGAAGTAGCTCACAGACCAATCAGGAAACAGTTCAGTACATCAAGGAGAAGATCAGTGAGAATGTGTCTGCAGAGAAAAGCATCAATCTGTTCCACTGTCTGAATGAACTGAATGATCGTTCTCTAGTGGAGGAGATCCAACAGTCTCTGAGTTCAGGAAGTCTCTCCACAGATAAACTGTCTCCTGCTCAGTGGTCAGCTCTGGTCTTCATCTTAGTGTCATCAGGAAAAGATCTGGATGTGTTTGACCTGAAGAAATACTCTGCTTCAGAGGAGGCTCTTCTGAGGCTGCTGCCAGTGGTTAAAGCCTCCAACAAAGCTCTGTAAGAATGCAAAAGTTACTTTATGTATTTTTGAACGTGAGAAATTTTCTAATGATTAGGTAAATGTTTACTCATATTTTTGTTTATTTATAATGAACCAGTTCACAACAAAAGACAACATAAAGATGTGTAAAATAAAACAATTCAATTAATCTTTTATAGGAGAACATTGTTGGGTGGAAAGAAAAACACATTATTTTTGATTAAATGTTTAATTGTAGATTTTTCTCCCTGTCTCTTCAGACTGAGTGGCTGTAACCTCACAGAGAGAAGCTGTGAAGCTCTGTCTTCGGTTATCAGCTCCCAGTCCTCCAGTCTCAGAGAACTGGACCTGAGTAACAACAACCTGCAGGATTCAGGAGTGAAGATTCTATCTGCTGCAATGGAGAGTCCAAACTGCAATTTGGAGACTCTCAGGTACAATGTTCTCAACCCTGTTGACACCAGATTTCTGGCTAATGCACCAGACGTGGTCCAAGACTATTTGGCACCCTGTGCGAACAACCTTTCCAGCACAACTAAAAGTTGCATTAAAAGTTCATTAAGAGTGTCAGCTTTGTATTACTCAGTAAATAATGACACTTTTAATGCAAAGTTCCATTAAATATTTCATTAAAGGTCCTTTAAATGTATCAACTTTGCATTTAAAGCGTCATTATTTACCAAATGACACTTCCTGACAAGTCGCAAATCTTTTATGATGACTTCTTCATGTTCATTACAGGTGTTTTCTTATGTTTATCACAGCATCACTTTTATGTGCACTCCTTCAAATAAAGTGTTATCCAAAGTTTTTCTGACATATCGCCTAGCATACACTACCATTAACCCCTTAATTGTTGATGCCAATAGAAATTTTATTCTGCAATTTAGGCAAAGCCAATTGTGACAGGAGAAAAATAACTGACAGAGGGGAAATTTTCAGTCTCAGGGTTTTTAAGGCTGTACCATAAATAAATACCCTCTTCCAACAATGAAATTTGTTTGAGTATGCAAAGAGGTACAATGGCTGAGCGGTCTATAAACATAACAACAGAAAAAAGACTGGAACAAAAATGGCAGAGATCCCTTACCTGTCATGATCCCTTTTATCCTTTTCGTTTTTGAGCTGATGTGTTACCATTCATTCTCTTCTTGTGCCACTTCCTTCCCTTCTTAAGCCTCACTCAGTCACTCTTATGTCACCAGATATTTGAAAGCATCATGACAGTATTTTTTCAACACTCTCCATCTCACCGTCATCATTTCTTGATGATCTTGCTCTCTTTATTTGCCAATTTGAAGAAGCCTTAAAGTCCAAAGAGCAACCATATGACCCCATCACCCTTTGCCCCCTCCAGGTAAGTAGGAAGATCTGCTGGATATTAGCAACATTGGACATCATAACTGGAGAAGGAACAGACCTGTCCTCCTCACCGTCATCATGGGTGAAGTCAGATATCTTCTTTCCCCCTCAGAAAAAGGTCAGAAATTAACAATAAAAACAACATAAAACTGAACAGGCAGAGGGACCTCAGAAGGCCAGCAGGAACCAAAAAAATAAACAAGAGTTCATGGAGAGTGACTGAGAGTTTGAATATTGGAGTCCAAAGTTCACTAAGAAGTATTTCAAAGGGGCCCACAAAGATGTTCCAGAGGATGGCTATCTGACTGAGGAAACCCATGGAGATGTTCTGGAGGGCAGAGCTTGGAACAGGTAATCTGCAACAATAGCGGCGCAGACACCAAGGAGGTCATCAACAGAGGTGTAGGATCCCAAGATGCCAGAAATATTGTCAAAGAGATTCAGGAGACTGGTTCAGATAGTCTGGAGGCTATAGGCAAGAGGACCCAGGAGACCAGCAGCTATAGACACTTGGCAGCTGCTATCAGTGGGGAACCTAAATTGGTCATCGAAAAGTCTGCCCTGTCTCTTAGGAACTGAAATTATATTCTGAATTATCAGACTTAATCACCTTGGAATAATGCTGCTCAGGTATCTCCCAGGTGGGTTTACGAGGGTTGCAAATTGCAGGATTTCCCCCAAAAAAGTTTTAGAATAAGTGAGACTTGTCCCTTGGCGAGGGCATATGCAGATTACCTCTCTCTTGCAACCTGTCTGCATATTGTGTCATGTTAACCAATTCAATTAAGAACAAGTATATATTTTTTCTGCTGAAAAGGACCAGTTCATACCTTGGGTTCAACCTCAAAGTTCTCATCATGTGTGTTAAATTGTGTGTCTCCAGCTTGTCAGGCTGTCTGATCTCAGAGGAAGGCTGTGCTTCTCTGGTCTCTGCTCTGACCTCCAACCCCTCTCTTCTGAAAGAGTTGGACCTGAGCTACAATCATCCAGGAGATGCAGGAGTGAAGCGGCTGCTGGCTGGACTGAAGGATCCACATTGGAGACTGAAAGCTCTCAGGTAAGGAGGGGAAGAAAAGAGAGAGTGAGAGAGAGAGGACTAGGAAATAAATATAATACAAAATAATAACTAGACCTAAAACATAGTTAAACTTGAGTAACAAAGAATAACTAAAAAGAACAAAAAAATAAAACGGATACAAGGATGATCTAATCAAGCAAAAAGACTAAGGTAATAAAATAATCAAACCTAAAAAATAGCTCAAAATAATCCAGGACATAACACTGAGACTGGTTTCAATTGTGGAACACAATTGATTAAATTCTAAGTTAAAATTCTTCTAAAACCTCCTATAAAAAGAACAGAACGTGAATAAAGAAAAAAAAAACAGGAGATGAGATACAAAGGCCATAATAATGGACAAATCTATTAAATATTGCAAAAAGAACATTTAAGGCACCTCATATGTAGTGAGATAACCCAAATTCAGGAATCATGGCACACAAAAAGTGAAAGTCACAGTCACAACAAGCACTGCATGACTTGGTTGTGTTGAACCAGTGTATCAGAGTGCAAATCTATCTCTCATGTCAGCAGATCATCTGCTCTTGGAGGTACCGAGATCCAGAAGGAAGCTCAGAGGGGACAGGGCTTTCTCTGTCATGGGCCCCAAGTTGTGTAATGACTTGTCTTTGCACGTTAGAGAGACCCCTTCACTGTCCACTTTTAAAGCTCGTCTTAAAACCCATCTGTTTTACTTGGCTTTCAAACTCCAGTGGGATCTAGTTTTAAATTGTATGTTTGTTTGTTTTTAAACTGTAAGAGTTTTTATTTATTTATTTTTTATTGTTATGTTGTGTTTTAATGTACAGCACTTTGTATCAGCTGTGGTTGCTTTAAAGTGCTTTATAAATAAAGTTGGTATGGTATGGTAAATCCAAATGTTAGACTGTTCCTTTCCCAGAATAGGACAATGTGTGTGAGAGAGATATGTAATGTTCATGTTTGCTACTGAAAGAGACTGATGATCTGACCCCCTCTTCCTTTCAGGGTTGAGCCTTCTGGAGTCCAATGGTTGACACCAGGTCTGAGGAAGTGTAAGTGTGTTTTTCATTTGATTCATGACAACAAAGTTTCAATAAGTGATCAATAATTGCAGTTGGATTGTTTTTGGGTTTTTTTTCCCATCAGATTCTTGTCAGCTCACAATTGACACCAACACAGTGAGCAGAGAGCTCAAACTGTCTGAAGACAACAGGAAGGTGACACTTGTGGAAGAGCTTCAGTCATATCCTGATCATCTAGACAGATTTGATGTTCCTCAGCTGCTGTGTAGAACTGGTCTGACTGGTCGCTGTTACTGGGAGGTCGAGTGGAGAGGAGGAGTTTTTATATCTGTGAGTTCCAGAGAGATCAAACGGAGAGGAGACTGGAAAGACTGTAGGTTTGGATATTATCATCAGTCATGGAGTCTCAGCTGCTCTGATGTTCATGGTTACTCTGTCAGGTACAAAAACAGACAAACAAATCTCTCCTCCTCTGTCTCCAACAGAGTAGCAGTGTATGTGAACTGTCCTGCTGGCATTCTGTCCTTCTACAGAGTCTCCGCTGACTCACTGATCCACCTCCACACCTACAACACCACATTCACTGAACCACTCTATGCTGGTTTTGGGTTCTGGTGGACAAGTCCAGGTTCCTCTGTGTTTCTGTCAGTTGAGTCTGAAGAGTCTACTCATGTAAATTAGCTGCAACAGTACAAGGCAGTGATGTATTTTCTCTTATCTTTCTTGAAAACACATTAAAAAAGATATGCTGGGTGTTTGTGGATGAAAATCTACTTTTATATTTCCAAACTGCTAACTTGGTAGAACTGAAAATCAGTTTTTCATTTTGTTGCTAAGCTCAACAACAACACCAACACCAACACCACCACCACCAACAACAACAACAACAAAAATACATGAAACATTTCAACAGCAGGGCCCTTTTTCAGAAAATGAAATTCAGTGTAGGTTCTGGGTTAAGTATGTGTATACTTTGTTTTCGGTTTCAGAAAACCAGACAGTGATTAACCTGTGTCAAGTTACCACCCCAACTTACTCCATGAACCAGCCCTGCTTGGTAGCACTATTGTGCTTGTTGAGACCTGATGTTGGAGAACAAATATTCTATTGAAATTTCCACCAGGAGAGGGCGATCAGATTACGGTTAGATGTCTTATTTCATAAATATTTTTGAGCGCTGCCATTTTCACCACAGCCAATAATAATAATTTTGATAAAATTTCAGCCAGCACAAGGTTAATATGACACAAAGCCACATTCTTTGTACTGCCCTTCATTTTTATGCCAACAGCATGATGTCAGGAATATTACTGTAGCATTTAACATGTTAGTGATCAACAGAGAAACCCATCAGGATGACCACAATATGTGGGTTGACTGCAAACGTGTGATGAAGTGGATCATCATTGTTTAGTAAAATTATGTTTTATGCAAGTGGGAATTGATCCTCACAAGGGGTTGTGCAAAGTTATTCTATTTCTTTTATCTAATTATCAAGCACAAAAAGCTTAGTTTTAGTTGAGTTTTATGTTAAAGTGGAGCCTTTTATGCAGTAGCTTTACCACCGTCGGACAGTTGATAATTGGGATTTCAGCATTTATAAGGGCTTGCAATAAGCGGTGCACAGTTTTGTGTTGTCTAGTCACAGAACTACAAGACTGATAAAAGAACAAAATCCACCGACTTGCAGACAGTGAAGCAATGATATCGTCAGCATCACATTATGAAACTTGAAAAATAATCCTTATATTTTGGGATTTCCAGGCTTATTTGTCTGTATAAATGACAGTCACATTCATTGCTTAGATTGCTTAATTTTTTTATATTAAATTACAATTAAATTACACAGTTTTTCATCTGTTTAACAATTATTCACATTGATGCAGTCATTATTGTCACTAAACTATGCTGTGCCTCCAATTTTATTCATCTGAGTGGGCCTTTTTAATACCCACGCAGTAGCTTTTATGTTTAGATTTCATTTATCCTGGGTTTTGTTCTTCTTTGTTGTATAGCTTATTAAAACTTTCTGTGGCTTCTGTTTTTCCTGATCGGTTCTTATAGCTTTTAGTTTGGCAATGTCTTCTATGGTTTTAGCAATGTGTGAACTTGAATGCTGTCCTTTCTTATAAGTTATGGTCCATAACATAACACGGGTAATGACGGTGAACGGACCTGGGTGGTGCACAGAAGGGAAAATGGGTAATCTACCCCTGTACCACTTGAGAAAAAAACAACTCTCCGTTAGTCCTCGCTGTTTTCGCCCGGACTGTACACCGGTTGGATGCTAACGAGCAGATCCTTTGATTCCAGCGAGGCAGCAATGACAAAACCCATAGACATAATATAATATGATTTAAACTGATTTATATTATGTCTATGACAAAACCGCTTCATTCTCCAAGCCCTTGCCGAAATGACACGGAAACCCCTTACGAAAACGTTTCCACCAATCATCACCAAGACATGTAGCAACATCAGCCAATCAAAAAAGGGGATTCGGTATCGTTCCCTCCCATGGCTTAAAGCCCGCCTGTTGGAATCGGATCTTTCAACACTCTCCTCTCTCCGCTGGTCCGGTTCGGTTAGTAGGTCAACCTCAGCCCAGCATTTTTTTGTAGTTCATCTTCATCACTCCCTAACATAAACCATGAGGGAAATTGTTCATATTCAGGCTGGCCAGTGCGGGAATCAAATTGGTGCAAAGGTAGGAAAAAGTTAAAAAGAAGTCGGGATTAAGTTTTTTTTTCTTTGATATACTGAACTTGAAATGTTTTCGAAATGACTTTTTTGTCTAAAAGGTTTCTGAAACATAATATTGAATGGGAAAGAATGAAAAAATACATGTATATTTGTGTTATTTAGATTTTAACGGAGCCTCTGAGCTTTTGTTGGAAAATTGTTACTTTAATTTGAATGTTTTCTGTTGAGTCTAAATAAATAAGAAACTATTCAGTGTTTAATTAGGTAATGTGACCTATTTCTAAGTATAGGTCACATTATCTATACTGAGGAATAACTAGAGTAATTAGTGGTCAGAATGTACAGTGAAGTCTATTAAGGATTAATTTCTCACCATATCACAGCTCAAGAATATATGTTCTAGATGTAATTTTATTCATTCTAATTAACCAGTTTATTAAAAGAACTTAAGTTTTGCAATTTCTAATTCTCAGTGGCCTCCATTTTTTTTTGTCCGCCTCATCAACACAGGGGAATTTAAAATTTAAAACGACGTGAAAGCATCAATAGCAGCTTTGGAGTGATGATTAATGGGTTTGGTCAGGCTTTTGGAAACTCACAGGGCCAGCTGCTGTCTTGGCCTGCTTGTGAGGCTTTGTCACTGAGAAAAAAAACCCAACAAGAGGGTGAAAAGAAGAAATTTGCTGAGGCAGAGCAGAGGAATGCGGAGGGTGGGGGGCTAACAAGTGGTCCAGTGTCTGCCCTGAAACACTGATGAGGTCATTTGAATGGCTGCCTTTCCACTCAGTTGATCAGATGCTCATATTCAGAAAAGAAAAACCAGTTGACATATCAATAACTCCTGTTTTCTCTGTTAGTGCATTAGGCTGCATGAAAATGTCTTTTAGTTTCACATTAAATACAATATTTTTATAAATTTGAGCAATAATAGCTTAATTCTCCATGACTGCCCCATTTAAAGCCTCATTGAACTGAGTTTCCTTTGCTGCAGGAACAGGCGTGGCAGCAGCAGCATATGGCCCGAGTCAGAAGCCCTGATCACTGAACAAGTGTATTTACAGCAGACTTAGTGAGTCTGAGGTCATGAATGTTTGACAGTGGATTAACTCTGCTTGAAACCACTCACTAACACAATCCAACCAAAATCCCCTCAGCCTTCATATTCTCCCGGCTCCCATCATCAAAAATACATTAAAGCAAAGGTTAAAAGGTCAAAGAAAGCTGCCAGTAATTTACCCTCAGCTATTTTTTCTTTGGTTTTGAGAAATACATTTGGATGACTCCATTCAAATAATCTAAAGCTAACATTAATAAGTTTAAATATGAGTTAAAAGTAGCTAAAATTGAAAGGAAATGTTGCTGTAAGCTGCTTTTGGGGAAGCTATTTTGCCCTCTTCTCTTAAGACGCCCACAGATACAGCCCTTACTTGAGATTAAGGTCAGCTGGCTGATCTGCTGTGACAGTGTGTGCTCTTACCACAGTTTGGCACCGGGATGTCAGCCACTAAAGATGGAGAGCGGACTGAATCCTCTGACAAAGCTCTGCTGATCCCTGCAACTACGGCCCAATCCGGGTTCCTAAAGATGCAGCCTTGACCCGAAGCAGAGTTCAGAGCAGAACCAGTTAAAACCTGTCATTTCCCGTCCCACCCTTCCTTCTGCAGAGACTTAATATACAAGTCAAGTCAGTTAATTAGAACCAGTCAGAGTCCCGTACTGGTAAACAGGTTAGAATTGATGCCATGATATTGGTTACATCAGAACTGGAGGGCATGTCTTTAAAGATGAACACTGAGGGTTTTAAGGATTCTCAGAAAAAGAAGTTGGCTTTTTCAAATTTAATAACTTGCAGACTAAATTGTAAATTATGTCGTAATCTCCTTCCTGCTGTGATTTTGGTCAAAGTGAGAGTTCTGTATGATTTTAATAATCTTTGAAAGCAATAACATTGTACATTTTAGTACCTACTTTAAATGTGAGCTGTTTTTACAGCTTGAACTTCAACGTGATTGGATAAAATTGACACAAATTAAAGGTTTTCAGGCTGTAAATAGCATATCACCAGAAACATACAGACTTGTTTCTGTTTTACAGGTGGTCTTGTGATGCTATGATATATTTGAACATCAGCATGTGCTTTAGATCCTAGGAACAGAACACAGACACAGACAGAACAGAGTTTTGTCTTTTTCTGTAATTCACTCAAATTGAAACCTTAAGACACATCCAAATTCCAGGATTTAATCAGATAATTCTGGTTCATGTATTTTTTTTCTGTCTTTAGTTCTGGGAGGTGATCAGTGACGAACACGGCATCGACCCAACAGGAACTTATCATGGAGACAGCGACTTGCAGCTGGACCGGATCAGCGTTTACTACAACGAAGCAACAGGTCACTTCTTCCTGATCCTGAGTTTATTTGTCCAAACTGATGGTTATGTTTAAGAAAAACTTACATGATCTTGACAAAAGTGCTCATATTCAAAATATATATTTTTTTCAAAATCAACATGCATAATGGTGTTATTCAGCATTCTTTTATGAAGGACTTTATGTTAGAGTTGGCCAGCATGGGTATTGAACCCATGACCTTGGTGTTATTAGCACCATATGCTGATCTGCTGAGCTAACCAGCCATGCATACTATTGAGTTTCCATTGACTTAAGAAAACTAACATGATCTTACCACTGATGATTTGAGAAAAGAGTTCATATTATAATGTTTTTCAGAATCAATATGCAGTGTGGATTTTCATAAGACTTTATATTTGCTTTGGTTGCTATGGGGTTTGAACCCATGACCTTGGCGTTATTAGCACCACGCTCTGACCAGCTGAGCTAACCAGCCTTTCATGTTGTTGAGTTTTCATAGATTTACTAAAAACTTAGATGATCTTGACAAACGCAGTCATATTCTAATGTTCAAGATCAACATGCATAAAGATAAATTTTCCAGTGTTATTTGAAGTGTCAATACTGTGAAAGACTTGATGCTTCAATTGGCTGACATTGGGGATTGAACCATTTACCTTTTTGTACCAGTCTCTGACCAGCTGAGCTAAACGGCCACACAGAAAGTTGAGTTTCCATGGAATTAAGAAAACTTACTTGATCTTTACACAGAAAAGTGCTAATTTTCTGATGTTTTTCAAAGTCTGTGTGCAGAAACATTTTTTCCAGCCTTCTCATATTTTTTAGTGTAAATTTTATTCTCCAGCCTTTCTCTATGGCTCAAATTTGTTGATTTTCCTTGGACTTTATATTTGCTTTGGCCAGTATGGGGATTGAACCCATGACCTTGGCGTTATTAGCACCACGCTCTGACCAGCTGAGCTAACCAGCCATTCATGTTGTGGAGTTTTCATCGGTTTACTAAAAACTTAGATGATCTTGACAAACGCAGTCATATTATAATGTTCAAAATCAACCTGCAATATTTTTGAGCCTTATTTAAAGTGTCAATATTGTGAAACTTTATACTTCAATTGGGCAGCATTGGGATTGAACCCATGACCTTTTAATTATTAGCAACACTCTCTGACCAGCTGAGCTAATCAGCCACGCAGAAAGTTGAGTTTCCATGGACTTAAGAAAACTTACATGATCTTCACACAGAAAAGTGCTAATTTTCTAATGTTTTTCAAAATCTTTGTGAGAAATGTTTTTTTCCAGGCTTTCTCTATGCTTTTATATGTTGATATCCTTAACCCTTTATATTTGCTTTGGCCAGTATGGGGATTGAACCCATGACCTCGGAATTATCATCACCTCACTCTGACCAGCTGAGCCAACCAGCCACACAGAAAGTTGAGTTTCCATGGTCTTAAGAAAACTTACAGGATCTTAACAGAAAAGTGCTAATTTTCTAATGTTTTTCAAAATCTGTGTGCATAGTTTTTTTTCCAGCCTTTTCATATTTTGTAGTGTCAATTTTATTCTCCAGCCTTTTTTTAAAAAAAAAAGGCTTTTAAGTGTTGACTTCCTTA